TTTTTACTAGTTGTGTTGTTCTGGTTTGCAAGACATCTTCAGCGCATCGTGGTTGTTCGTGGGTGGAAGTAAATTTGTCTTCGTTCATTGCAAAAGTTCCAGCCATCCCAACACTGAAACTTCTTTCCTTTTCGCCTTCTGGAACGCGCTGATCTGCACGTGGTTCCGTAGTTTTCCAGAAACACATCTTCGGAAAGAGGTCTGGGCTCCATCTGGAATACTGCAAACCTCTTCTTCTGCCAGAAAATGTAGTTCTGGAAAACCCCTGAACCACTTCTGGGATGGCCAGATGAGCAGATTCCAGAAGAAAGGGACCACTCAGCGTTCCCAGGAAGATTCCATTCCCAGAACTCTCTGCCCTTGATCCATCTTGCACTTCCTTGCCTGCTAAGCCACATCCCAGGGCCCTCTAATTCAATCACATCCCTCTAATTCAATGTTTCTCAACTTGGCCGCTTGAAGATGTGTGGACTTCAACTCCCAGAATTCCCCAGCCAGCATGTGTTCCCAAACACATCCATTCAGTTTCACTCTCCATACGCAACGTAAGACATCGAAGGGGAACCTCAGCTGAAGTCTTCTCAAGAGGGTTGGCGATAAATATGAAGTTACTTGATCCAGGATGGACCAGGCAATAGTTCTGTTAAGTTCTTGTTCCTGTGTGTTGCTGTCACATTGCAGAATTGTAGAATGCATGAGTTGGATGGAAGCAGTCTTAGAGGTTCTCTGTTTCAAACTTTGCTCAGTGCAGGAATCCACCAAACCAGGGTTTCTCAACCTTGGCAACTTTAAGATGGGTGGACTTCCAGAATTCCCCAGCCAGCACTTTAAGATGGGTGGCCTTCCACTCCCAGCATACTCCAGCCAGGGTACTTTAAGATGGGCTGGCTGGGGAATTCTGGGAGTTGAAGTCCACCCATCTTAAAGTTGCCAAGGTTGAAAAGCAGTGCACTAAACCATCCATGAATCAAAGCTCCATTTGAAAACCTCCAGCAACGCTTCCATTAAGGCAGATCTCACCCATTCTATAACAATACCTTTGTCTTTCCCCACCCAGACACAGGACTCATCATTCTGGTCACAGCTGAGTACCATCCTGTTGGGTTCAGCCCAAGATTCAAGCCTGCCAAGGTCATTTTGAGCTGTGCTTTTTTCCCTCCAAAGTATTAGCCAACCCCCTAACTTGGTGTCCTCTGCAAACCCAATAACCCTCTTCCCTTGTTCTGTTTCATCTTCTTGCTATGGATTAAAATGTTGAATAATGCTAGGCCAACTGATGGGAGACCCTTCTCAAGACATCGCTCCAGAATACGTGCAGCATTTATTTGTATAGTTTTCCATAAATTAGCTTGCTTCTCTTTCGAAATGAACTGGTCAATAAACCTGTCCTGAAACCTACTCTGATGAAGTTGCTCCCTGGAACGGATCGGCCAGCCAAGAGGGAAGGGACGGTGATGAAGCTTTGCCAATGCTCTCCTGGTTCAAGGGCTCAGGAGCTATCAGGCACTTCAGAGAGCACGGGGGTAGGGACTCTGTATTCCTGAAATTTTGAGTTTTGGCCCAGTTAGTGTGATTGTGTGCTGAGTCAGTGACGGCCTCGGTTAAGGGTGTTCTGGGAATAGGTCCTTTAACATCACAATTCCCTGCTCGAATGCTCTTTTCCCCCATCAACACATGGAGGAGAACAAGGGGCAAGCAGAGTTGGATGGAGATGAAGGTGACTCAGGTCAAGATCACCTGAGTTGGATGGAGATGAAGGTCTGACTCAGGTCAAGATCACCTCCACTTGGCATTTAACCATTCCTGAAATCAGCTCACCTTGACCCAGGCAAAGATAGAATTTTTTTAGTGAGCTTGGAGCAGTGTTTCTCAACCTTGGCAGCATTAAGATGTGTGGACTTCAACTCCCAGAATTCCCCAGCCAGCAAAGCTGGCTGGGGAATTCTGGGAGTTGTAGTCCACACATCTTAAAGTTGCCAAGGTTGAGAAACACTGGCCTGGAGGCTGCATTCTGCCAAAGGTCCGTCCAAACGATTGTGTCCCACAGCGCATGACGAGACCCAAACATGATGCTCCTCCCCACAAGGCATGCTGCAATAAGCAGGCCTCAAGGCCACCCCAGTCCTCTGGGGTGCTCAGTCGCCTTTTAAAACCATCGGCATTGGCAGCACTCAGCGCACTGAATGCAGGCAACTTACAGTTCAGCCAGGCAGTCCCTTTTATCAGTTTTAACGGAGGATTTCATGTTCCAATCTTAGGCAATAGGGAGAAACATTTCTATGTCCAGATTCATCCTATGCCTGAATCTATCTGGATGATGTCTATAGCCCACCTTCCCTTCAGCTGTCAGAAAGATAGAGAGAGGTTGCATGATGTCAGGTCCCTGCATATGAAGTTTTACATGATTTCTCTATTTTTACACAAGCATGTATCCCGTGTGGTGACTGCCTCCTGGTGATCAATACAATATAATGCCAAGCAACACCGAGGGATGTGGGCGTGTGTGGGGGGGAAATCATGTACGTAAAACCTTGTGCAGGGGACATGACATAATACATCTGTATTCTATATCTCCCTTCCTGCAGGACCTAATAGCACCTAAATCCATTGTGCTGTATCTACTGCAGTTGTCTAAAAGTGCAACGGCCCGTGAGTTGAAATCCTGGAAGAGGGTTTGAACCCCATAGAATGACGTCCGCCTACATCTGGAGTCCCATAGAGGATGCAACTGGCCCTTGGGGGTCAGTAAAACGGCAAACTCTGCATCATTTCATTTCAACTCTAAGAGTTCTTTGAGCCCGTGTGATTCCCGGTGTCCTCACAGACAAGACTGTGCAGTTTTCTTAGCAACAGTCCAGAAATGTTTTAACTCCATCCAGGCTGTGTTTTAACTTCCTAGTCTGGCTTTCGGTCTAGAGATTTCCTAGCGGTACCCACAAAAGTACTGCTTAGCTTTTCAAGATCCAGATCTCTATCACCTCCGTGCATCCATTTCATTTCGGTTGAAGGTGCAAATGTTGCTGTGCTGGCTGGGAAGTATGAAAGTCCAAAGGTTGTGGAGGAATGATCTAGGCCTGGAGCTGGAGGAATTTGTCCTTTTCCTGACCCGTTCTGTGGAAGAGCAATGGCTGTTCTTGCAATCAGAGGTGGGCCACCCACCCCTCTTTGCCCAGGCTCAACACTGAAGAGACAGGATCAGACACATCATAGAGAGGTGGTCCTCTCTGTCCTTGATTCATCTTTCACTTCCTTGCTTGCTGGAAGTGACACATCTTTGGCACAACATCTTTGCCACCCTCTAATTCAGTGTTTCTCAACCTTGACCACTTGAAGATGTGTGGACTTCAACTCCCAGAATTCCCCAGCCAGCCTTG